ATTTACAGGAGAGATCAATACAGACACATAAGTGAAGGAAGAAAAACACTTGACTGTGTTGCTGAAACGGTATCTGAACAACCTCTTTATCAGAAAACATACACATCCCTATTAAATTGYATGATGATGCTCTGAAAATTACTTCAGGGAAGAAACAATTCACTTTTGATTGACATACTGCTTGGAACCTTTTCTGTCTTCAGAAGACCGACAGCTGTGATTGGTTTTGCTGGTGTGCTCACTTTTCACCAAGTATCTCATCTGAGCCAAATAAATCAAGTACACCACAGAAATTAAATAATAACAAGTCTGGAGAATACTATCTAAGAAAGAAAGGCTCTTACATGCAAATTTAGGTCCTAAAATACCTAATGTTTTACTTCCTTTGGAAAAAGGTTTTAAAATAAAACCCAAATGCTGCCATTTACAACTCAGACTCTCCAATGATGTGCATTGTATGAATAGTGCATATTTTTAAGAATCAATGAACTAGCAAAATTTATATTAAAACTCTTGAAACACATGGAGGGTTTGGCACACAAAACATGTTTAAAATTCTTCCAAGAGCAGAGTCCCAAGCCACACACCTTACATACCCCTACTTAGCAGACTACATAGGTCTGTTTACATTTACAAGATCTATGATTTATTATAAGTTAAGCCAACTTACCCTGTGCTACAAAGTCCAGCCATGAACACCATTCTGAGAAAAAATAATAACTTTTCATTTCTGCTACTGAAATTCCTCTCTGATTCATCATCAGAGAAGAAAAAGGTGCACTTTCCCCTTCCCCTGCTCAGAACAAACTGCCCTGAAAAGGTAAGAGCTTTAGTATTACCTGAACTTTGTTCCATAAATACAACAGGTGGCACAAGATTACTTTACAAATATATTTTCCTCCACTAATGCCATTGTTCTTGTAATTATCTCTTTAATTACAGTGTTCTCCCCTCATGACCCCACCCTGAATATTTACAGACTGCTGATATACCCAGTGTCTGATACAGTATATATAAACATAAGCCCTAAGCATATTTTCATTCATGTTAGGCTTTAACAAGGCAAAGCAAAACTGTTTTTCATGCAGATATTCACAATGCTATCTGGAACTAGTCCTACTGAATTGCTCACTCTGCCCAAACAGGTGCAGTTTATCACCTCTGCTACAGATTCACACCTAACTCTCTTCTCCATCTTTCTGACTGAAAAAGTGCAAGAGCGTTTCAAGCAGGATGGGTCTCAAGTACAGAAACCCAAAATCTCAAATGAATTCCTTTTCAACACCTTTATCCAGCAGCAAACAAAGGTGTGGATGCAGTAAACAGTAAACACAGCCTTACTCACCCCTGGGGACTAACAGTAATAAAGCTGTCCTGGCAGACTTTAACACTGACCAGAAATGTCAGTGTTTGTACAGGCTCCAGGCAGGCTTTGGCTACACTGAAGCCAAATACTTCTGCTATTTTTGTGTGTTCAGTCTGACATTTCCTGCATCCACACATTTTGCCRTCCTGCCTGTAAGCTAACTCCCTCTCTCCATACAAGAATGCCCAATGTCCAACAGAAATACTCAYACAGCTTCAGAAAAAGAGGTACCACATCTGCATGCCCTTTCCTGACATACCTGAAGKGCTCTTCCTCTAGACTCTTCCTCACTCTTTTTGGTGGATTATTCAGGTTATGGATTAACCAAGCTCTGTCTGACTCACTACAAAAATCCATTCGTATGAGACACCCACATTACAATGCTGCTCATGGTACCTTTTTGCCGAGTTTCTTTGGACTGGAAGGAYCCTGTGACACAGACAGTCTCCCCAGCCTCCATTCATCCCATGCCTAGAACTACATACGAGAGCAAACTGCTCTAGAGCTTTGGTCATCCTTGTCAGAAAACCAACCTGAATCCAGAGTAAAAGGTGCAGACTATAGGATGCTCCCAAAGACAATCCCCATCCATCCCAGGTACAGCACAGACTGAAGGCAGATGTCTCTGGYGTTTCCACTCACCAGACTCGCTCTACAGCTCTCGGTTCCAGCTGCCCCACTGTTCCCATTTGCTTAGGGAAAGCCAGAAGAGGGAGAGTCTCAAAGCACTGGCTGTGAGCACTATGCTGGGACACCTGTCACAAAGGGCCACAGCATGCCAGAACCTTGGAAAAGGTCCCCTGCTGATGGGAGACCAAGAGAGGTGTCCCCAGAGAAGACTGCTCAGAGCCACAGCTTCCCAGGGCTGAAATCCTCCACAAACCCACAACTGCTGTCCCCGCTGCCTGCAGTCAGAGGTGAAGAAGCACACAGACAATACACAGTGATGAACTCAGAACTTGTGATGCCGTTTCACAGCACCCACTGTACCAGCCTGGGCCCTGTCTGTCCAGACAGGAGGGGCCACATGGCACCTGGTCCCAAACATCTGCATTCCAAGGAGCAAGTGTCACCTGAGCCAGGGCTCAGACAGGGTGAGCAGATAAAGGCAACACAGCCTGCCCTGAGTGAAAGACACCTGCAGAGAACACACAGTGAGGATTAGGCCAAGGAGGAGAGATCCAGCTGTCAACAAGCTGTAAGYAAATAAAGTCTGCTTTGTTAAAATGAAAATAAAACAGAGATGGATTTGATGGAGTATGATGACTCTGGAAGCCAGCCCAGCTTCCTTATTAAGGTAAATAAGGTAATACAAAATCAATATATGAACTAGGATATTTATTGTTCAGTTAAAAGTTTCTATATTCTATATTAAATATTTTAACATGCAGGGAAAGGATGAAGTGAYAGCAAAGCAAACATGCTCTCAGCAATTTCCAGAGACGCTACTGAACAGAGAACAAAGCTTTGTGAGACTTGGGACAACAGGACAGMGTGGCTCAACTTTGTCACAGGTAGGAGAGAGGTACACAGATYACAGGATTCACAGAATCACATTTACTTTGGAAATACATTCTTCCAAAATTGCGATTTCACCCAGGGTAACAACAGGACAGAAATGTTCTCAGGCTGCACTACCTCTCTCTTTCCACAGTCTAAAACTCRGATGCACCTTCTGTGTAACATTTGGTCTGCAAGTGCCACTGAAAGCTGAGGTTTGTGCCAGGAAGGCGGGAAAACTCGTATCAGTCCAAAAGGCCATAAACSAACTTTGACAAAAACAATGGAGTAATTCTTACTGGATATATAAGGTTAACATTAAAAGCCTGTAATTGCTTTCCTACTGTCAACATAAAATGGGTAACAGGAAGGAAAGGAAACAGAATTTTTGCATACTTGAGGACTTCAAACAGAAAAGGCTGCCACAYGATCAAAAAGAGTTGGAATAATAATAAGGATGGGTGGGAGACAGAACAGACAGCTTCCTACAGAAAGATACTATTTTCTGACTACATACACACCTCTACCTTCATGAATAGTGAAAGGAGGATGTAAGTAAAAATGATTGCATAGCATTAAAGGATTTATATTAAGGATCTTGGTCGAAAGGAAATTATGCAAAAATTAGGAATAGTATCTATGCTAGAATGTGCTCAATGGATTAAATCTCTGTTTTTCTCCTATGTCGTCAGTGCCTTGACTATACTTTAGATTAGCTCCAATCCATTAATGAATGCCCAACAGGTGCTTGAAACTCATAAAAACATTAATATCATAAAATATTTGGTGAAAATAGTGTCTTTCATGGCTACACTATGAACTTGATTGCAGAGTGCTGCCAAGTGATAGCTGAATCCTACATGAAAGTAAGACTGAAATTTGAGGAGACCTTGTTTTGCTTTGCTTTACAAGACAGCATCCCATATGGCTAAAATATTACTAACTTTTKTCCTGATTTTTCTTTACTGTGATTAACAGAAATTTACATAAAAACTTTTTCTAGTCTGAGCTGAATAGAATTAATTGCTAGRTTTTCATAATTTACTAGTAAGCACTCCTGGAAGTACCAGATCTTGGCCTCACAAATTCGCACAACTGGTAAGTCAGGAAAGGTGAAATCTTTATATTTCAGCAGTTACAAAACAGATTTATAAAAGAAGASCATATAATTTTAATTCCAAACGCATAGATGACAAAATAGTCAGTGATCACAGCACAGATGAAGGATTAAGAAAATMAAATCATCAGAGAGGCATTTTTCTCTTAGTTTGGTTTTTTTCCCCCTAAGAGAAAATGCCAGCATCAAAGAAAAAAATACTGAAAAACCTTGAAAATTAACTAAGGTAGCTTAGTTTATGTTGATGCCAATTTCCAAATTAGTTTTAAAAGAAACAAAAAAAAAATCCTCTTTCTTTTTTAAGACCATAATAGGTCACATGCATAAAAAATCCAAGAAAGTTGTAATTAATTATTGAAAAATCTACTTCAGCTTATCTTAGCCACTCAGGGTTAACATTTTAGAGAAAGAAAAAGCCCAAAATGTAGCTTTACTAAACACAAAGATTATATAATTATCACTCATATTAATATGTACTGTATAAAAGACTTTGAGACGAARTGGTGGCAAGTCCTAAATTTAGTTCATTAAAAATGTGATTAGAGGCTTCTTGATTTTCTTGAGCACAGTTAAAAATATTTCCTTTTGCGTAAATAGGTATGCTTTTGAGGAGAGGAATACTCAGTGATGTTGCTCTAGAATCTAAAAGGAGGGCCGATGTAAAGCATTTAAATCTGTATTAGATAMTGTCATTCACCTGGAACTGCAAGAAAAAACAAGGTATAGAGTTTTTCTCCAGTAGGTACTGATGACAGAGAGTAATTACTATCATGAGTAAGACCTAATATTGACAAAGATTAATATTTTTAACTGTAACAGTTGCTGGATCCCTACATGAGTACATGCTCAGAAAAAAAACCCCACTTGTTCCTGCAAGAATCATCTGTTGAAAAAAATCAGTAACATGAATCCTAGGCTGCTTACTGCTCATATTCAACTCACATGCTGCTCCAATTTCAGTGAAACATTCTATGTACACACACATCACACTATAGGATCGTGTATAATYCACCTCACCAGAGCATATTTGATGTGGGTTATTTCTTGAGTGCCGTCTGCCATGAAGGATTTGGAAGAATCTTTGTAAGATCCTAAAATGACTTTCATGTCCTTCCCTTAAAAGGCGGCGTTGAGACATGGGTGTATCTTCACCAAACAACTCAGCAGAAGAAATGAAAAATCKCCTTCTAGCACACTGAAAGATACTCTAATTTTCTTTTTAAATGTCAATGAAGTGTGAAACTTCTTTGTCAAATTCAGATGATACCAAAAATGATAAAAAAGGCCACAGTTTTAAAGTGCTGGAAGAAGGTGCAGTGTATACAATACAATATTTGTATTGCATGTGCTTTTCTTCAGGAACCAATACTTAGTTTCATTAGAAAGGAAAGAGAAAAACTGAAAACACCAAGATAATTTCTGCATGAAGCTGCAACACCCTCTCAGTTCCTAGCATGCTGCACCCAGCAGACAGGACATCTTGGCACAGTTTCAGTCTACTTTGAGTGTGATCAGTATGAATAAAGCAGTCACAGCTTCTCACACCAGCAGGTCTGACTAGCAAGTGAAATTTCAAGAAAATAAAAAACAGTGTGAAACTGTCTCTTCTTCAGTRTTTTATCCAAAATAGCTATATCCAAACTAACAGCCCTTTGCTGCTTAGGATGAAGAAAAACCGCCACAAAACATCCAGTTTGTCAATGCACTCCAGCCACACATGGAGATCCAACACCACTGCTCATCCCAAGTAGCTGGCACAATCCTTCTTCACATCCTTCTCCGTAAAGTGASGGATGTTCAGCTGCTGCAAAGAAACTTGGTAGGTCTCTCCTGAAGAAGGGCAAACTGCAGGTCTTTACAGTCTTGCTTGTTAGTTCGTAGCTCGGCACTCCGAGGACAGAAATCTCGCACTGCCACTTGTGTTTCCTACTTTGTCTCGAGCACCTGGTATCCCTCAGGGACGAGAGCTGTGCTCATGCCAGGAGATTGTGAAAACAATGCTGTCAGCTGGAAACTCCTCTTCAGCTCGTTTTCCCAAAGTTAGACTCTCATCATCAGTACAACTCTTCTTCTTCCCCCTGTATTTGAACAAAGGACAGAGCCCTTCAAAGGCAGAGTCCGTTTCCAGAAAATCTGAGCAGAGAGGTCTTATGAGAAAAACCTGGGTCTTCCTGGGAGTTAACAAACAGCTAATAGGAAGGAAGGGAGGGGAAATGAATCCCAGGCTTTCTTAAAGCATATCAGGAAACTCTACACTGTCTGTTCCCCCTGTCTCTTTCAGTGCAGGAGAGAGGAAATTGATAATGCTGCTTTACTTGGCAGTCAAGATTTTCCTCTCCATTTTGTTTAACTATGTCCTGTATGGCCACACATCTGCCACAACCCAAATATATATCATTATGCACATCATCCTGAAGAAGTGCTTTAAAATATGATGAATCACGTATTACTCTGAAAGCAAATTCAAAGAGACAAACTTTAAGTCATATTGAAGTAAATATTAAATAGCTTACTACAAAATATTTGTTTGTAAACACTGTATTAACAGAGGAGAATTGTTACAGTCCTAGCTGGAAGGTGTTCACCTTTTGACATGATATCATCATTTGACAAATGTGACAATCTTGAAATGTGACAACCAAGAAAATATCAAAATAATAATTAAAACAGATGAGTTTCATGCAAAATTCACTTGTTTCCCTTATTCATTATATATCAAGCAGATGGCCTACTGCRTATTGCAGCAGTGCTACATGTCCAGGATCAAAGGCTGTCCAAGCTTATTTAGGAACCCAGAAATTCACAGGGAAGGAAAGACAGGAACAGCCTACTGGTGRAACTCCACCATGACACACACTGCCACTGCAGTTCACACTCAGGGGTCAGAATGAGGAACTGAGGTGAGACACAGCATCCATAAAATGCAAAATTCCAAATTTTCTTGTGCTGCTCGTCACTGGCAGCACAAAGCAAAGGTTCTGGYCAGTTAAGGGGTAACAACATCTGCAGGGACAACATTGCAACGTGTTCCTCGCTGAGTTTCCCAGTGGAGGCACCTAATGTGACCAGGGGATGCCTGTGGCAGTTTGTCAGCCATGAGGGCTCCCCTCCTACCTGGCAGGATAATAACTACTTGTTTGGGGCTTTTGGGACACACTGGCCTCATGACCTAAGGACCCATTCTGACAGTCAAGTAGGATGATGATTAAACTACACATCTTCCTCCAGCAGCCAAGCCTCATTAGAAAATTAGGTAGATAGGATGAAAGAAAATKAAATTCTTCACAAAAACATTTGACAGGCACTGGATCAGGCTRTCCAGGGAAGTAGCTTAGTCACCATCTCTGGAGGAATTTAAAAAGACATATATATGTGTCAYTTAGGGACATGGTTTAGTTGTGGACCTGCCAGTGCTGGATTAATAGCTGGACTCGATGATCTTAAAGGTCTTTYCCAACCTATATGATTCCATGATTCTATGARAAGTGACTCTTTGTGCCAGTGGTGTTGAGTGTGTGATGACACTAGTGGCACATGGCAAAAACCTCACCAACAATTTGTGCAGAGGATTATTTCACAAGGAAAAAGGATGCTCTCCTTTCTTCACATATCAAATGCATGCAGAAGATTGATGACTTAAACTGTAAAGTTGGTAAGTACACACAATCCTACTGAAATCTAGCCATTAGCTACATCCCTGCAYGCAAACAAGCTTTTAATCTTCTTTCAAGCACTCAAATTTGTGCCTAGAAGCAAAGAAATTAATCACAACAATGGCTACGGTAGTGCGCAATCAGAAGGAAACAGATGGTGTAATGCACTGTTTTGCAAACAGCAGCAGCTTCTATCTCCAGGAAAATAATCTGAATATTTTCCCTTGCTGTTGGCATTACTATAACAAAAGCTCCCATTCGAAGGACATCTCTGCTCTGTGCAGCACCAGCAGATTACTCCGGAGTTTACAGACAGCAATATTCTTTTGAGTATTAGCTGGCACAATCAACTAGACTGCACCTATCCCTCCTTTCACATCACAGAAACAGCAACATCCAGGGGTAACACCCCTCCAATTATCTTTAAATGACTGCAGACAGCCTGATGGAATCAACAAAATCGTGGCAATGAAATAGGGCTTATTTTCCTCATGCTTCATTTCCAGGTCTGTTTCTGACCRCAGGCAGAATGCTGCTCATTGACAGCAGAAACAGCCACAGTGACTTACAGCTGTACATCCTCTCTGATTCCTCCTTTCCCAAGGATTCTCACAATATTTTAGAACAGTAACTTCAAGTTTTGTTGGGAATCATTAAATTAAGAAGCCATCATTTTCTTCACTAAATGTTCCTACTGTTCCTTTAGTTCTGTTAGTCTGTACAGGGGCCTTATCTTTAGAGGACATCTTGAATGCCCAACTGTGATTTTCCCTCCAAATCCAAAGAATTATTTACAGACCCTTCYTTACATCCTCACATTTGATGTGATGCTGAAAGATTCACATTACAGGACCCTGTGCTTCTCCTAACTGCACAGAGCAGGAGGTTCTGGTAGCAGAATCATCACTGCTCTACTGTTTCTTCTAAATTTATTCTGTTCCTCTACACTCCTTCATATCTTCTGATAAGCCATTGCCACTGCTGTTGCTACTTCTCCTATTGTAGATCTCATTTTTCAGGAAAAAAAGTCCATCTCACAGACATAAAACATGGCAGCTCTCCAACACTTCAAGATCTCACCATGCACACAGGGCCCACCTGTGTGATCTGTATCTTCTCCTCACACATTGTTTTTTGTCTGGAGTTCTGGCAGGTAGGAGGAAGTCCAGCATGGGAARTGCCTTCACATCCCCAGTAACAACCCAGAGGGCTGCAGGAGAGATCTCACATGAAGAATATAACAGACTCTGAAAATTCTATGGGTATTTGCATCTAATACACGCATATGCAGAGCTCAGAAATGACTGCTTCTTGGATCAGTTTCTAAAAACAAAAATAAGGSCACATACAAGCTAAATCTTGCCATGTGGATCTTCCAGCCTCAGCACACTCACAGTAACAGTGGAAATGAAATGAGGGTGAAGAAAACTGAAATGTTGCTAAGACTTTTTTCTTTAAATCATGTTTCATCAGTTATGTCCYGCACACACATTTATTTTGTTGAGAACAGTCATACAAACAGAAAGCTAAATTGGACTCAGGCTACATTATTGTACATACTGTTTTGCACACATTGAAATATGATACACAAGTTACTTCTCATCTGAAATGYGAGTTGTTTTATAGAGTTGAACACCCACACACCATAACAAGTTAGCACTGATTGATATGCTTAGTTCTGAGCTTTTTATAACCCTATTTAAGTGCTGAACTATAGCAAGTTGCTTGTGTTGATTTTTAAAATTGAAAACAAGTTGTCAAAGATTAATCCATGCCAGAGGCCAATCACTAGGCCAAAACAATAAAGAGTCAACTAGAGGSTGATTTTAAATGAAAAAGAAGATGTGGCTGAGATGTTAAAGACACAAAACTTGATATTTTTACATCCACAAATCGTACAGAGCTCTTGTAGACTGAAAATGCTGAGAAAACTCATCTGAAAACTCAAGAAATAAATCAGTATTCCATGCATATTCGAGATTCTTCAAATACAAGAAAAGACTGAATCTTCCTTTTTCAATGTGGACAAGATTAATATAAAGTTTAAGGTACCATCTTTTGCCTTTATTATTTTTACTCTTGTTAGAATTTGATAGGTGTGCTTATATTTCACTTTCAGGCTACTCTAGCAGGACATTCTACTATAAAGCTTAAAAAGAGGTCCCACAGAGTAGTCTAGARAATCTGTCATCTGAACCTATATTTAATAAAGTGCCATGACATATCAGAAGAAGCTGGAGTGGGAAGAAATCTCAGAAATAGGTACAAATGAAKATATATCTGGGCAAACCTAAAAGCCACTGAAAACAGACTCGGTATCTCATAAAAACATAGACATTTATAAATATTGTTAATATTTTTATGCTTATTTATTAGGGATTGGGAGTTAAAAGAATGATTTRGTGTCACAAGAAATCTACACAGAAACCCTGAATGAAGTTACAAGAGCGAATTAGGTTAGTTTTCCAAGCTTAATCCTAACTGGATGTATCTGCTCAGAGACAAACCATGACTGTAATAAGCATCAGATGAATATAAGTAGATCAGCACTGAGATAAATGGACAGCTTGCATTCTATTTATACTTGCACATTATGCTGCTGAGCCACTTCTGCCACTCTTTCTTTACAGCAATCTCTCAAAAAAATTAAACTAAATCCTAAATCCAATACAGAGTGTATCATAATTTAAATGTACAGTAATAAACAAACAAAAAAATTGCAATATGTAAGATTAGGGTTTCAGTATTCTGGAAGTGTTAACATTTAACTGTCAAGATAACAAAAAGCTCTTAAAGCCTAACATCTGTCCCTCTAATTTAGGTAATCTTACATTGCATGTCTGAATTTCTTGAGGGTTAGCAATAAATTGACCCATCTCCAAAAAAACAAATTCCTTCACTATTAGCAATTRAAAATACTCTGAAAATCACACTGGGTCAGAGAAGGAACTAGAGGAGAATGTCTCTTTATGACCAGCAAGCGAAGTGAGGTCTAACATCTAACAAGGCAGAACTTTTGTTTTGTTCTTTAATTCAAGTCTTTTCACTTTTGGAAGCAGCTACCAATCAATTTCAAAACTTCAGAGATGTTCTAAGAAAGATGGAAACTGCACACACACTGGTGAAGAGAAARCCTGATCAGTATCCAGTGCCAATGAAAAGCAGCAGGTAAATGCCATCATGATATTTGAGCTAATTACACAACTGCCACCAGCAGTTCACTCATTTACTTAAATTCTACCAGGCAAAATGACCTGGAAGGTGACAATTACAGGTAGTGATAGAACAAATTTGTCAGAGGTATGAGGTTTACCTTTTTGGTCTGAAGCAAAAGCATGTGAGAATTGATTCACATTAGGAAGTCCCTGGGAGTTATTTCAGTCCTGTGCTTGATGTGGACCCCTACTTTCATCCAACCACAGTGCCCCAGCTCAGTTCAGCACCCAACTGCTGCTGGTGCCTGCACACTATGG